AGAGTTCCCGTTAAAGACTTGATCCTCAGGAAGTAAAGGAGGTGACCTCGTTCTTTTGGCAACCGGGATGCTCGTCAAATTTCTTGCAGCAGCTTCTAAAATAGTATTGCTTGGAGATTCCAAAGATTTTTTATGTACTCGAGAATCACGAGTACTAAAACTGGCATTTGATCCATTATTCAACATAACAGGTGATATAGAAGGCCTGGAAAGGGAAGCACATACTAGCCTCACTCAGATTTTTCTTCCCTTGTTTTGGGGATGCAAAAGGCGATATGCCCATACAAATTCCATAAGAAAAGTAACATATTTTGTAAGTGCCTAAAATTTCATTCAATTTCTCACTCCTAAAGTTCCACTATCACTTCAAAGGAAATAACCTCTTAGATGCATTGTTTGTATAAACAAATTGTTCCTTTTATACGAGAAGAAGATAATAAGAACTTCTTTACTTCTCTCCTTATGCATTGAACAATACATCTTAATCTTTTTTGTGGCTGCCCAGCACTACAGAAAGTACACCCTAATTTGTCTTCATAAATTGTAGATATTAAGGTGTCTACTAATATTAGCTCATATAACTTTTAGTCATTTTGAGGAAAATGAGAGTATTCATGGACAACTTCATTAGTACTTGGTAGGGAGTAAAAGTGGGAACCTTGTTCGTTTTAGGACTTGAACATCGTCATGTTTGACAGGAAAATTTCTACCAGACGCAAAAGAGCCCTCAAAATGTGATACTAGAGAAGGTCCTTGATGAGCCTGCAACTCAGCATGATCTTCTAGCAACTTTGGCTGATTTTCCATTCCAGAGGAGGAAAATGCACGCCTATATAGAAAACAACAGCCTAATCAAAGAAAGATCACTATGAACAAAAAGTGTGGTATTGAATAAAGTTATCTTACAGATTAAAGCCATGTAGAAAAGTGACACACATAAGGCAACCATGCATTTCACCATTAATAAAAGATGAAGAATGTAACTATCGGGGAGAAAAAAGATGTTCGGACTGCAATGACTTTTCTTTTCTATGATGATTCCAAAGCAATGAGCAGACATGAAAACATAAAGCGACCAGTTTTTTGGAGATAACGTAGCCAAACTATTATGTTCTTGCATCAAAGTCTCCACCCAAAACATAGTTTCCCAAGTACCATACATAAAAGTGTTGCAAAAGCATACAAAAGATGATTTCCCAAAGATTAATAGTTTAGAACTCACCAGACCATTTAACACACACACACACACACACAGTTGAACTTGGAACTTACCCTTCTACTCCAACAAAAGGATGCAAATCCTCATAAGAGACCAAGGGAGGTGATCGTATTCTTGGAGTAACCAAGTGACTGCACAAATTTACAGGCAAATCTGAGGGGCTACTGGATTAAGCAAATTAAAGCAGAACTAATAAGGCTAGAAAGAAAAGGAAAATCAAAGCAGTCTTTCAAGGAGCATATTGATGCAGACATCATTGAAACTTCCTTTTAATAGAGTCTGGAGCAGATTTCCTTTTTTGTTGTTAGTTTCCTAATTTATTTGTTAGTTTCAGTAGGATTTCTAGTTTTCTAGAAATCTAAGTTTCCTGATTTATTTAGGATTGGTTTGTTTTCCTATTCCTTTGTGGATTAGGATATCCGTTCTAATAAGGGATTTTATTCCTATTGTCTCTAGGTTTAGTTTACTATAATTACAGCCCATGTAGTTCATTGGAAGATAGTTGAGTTATTGAATTAAAGTTTAGTTTCCAGAGATTGGAATTCTCGTGTGAAGCCAAGAACGGGTGTGAAGCCCCTGGAGTGATTCCAGACCTATCTCTTTATTCATCTAATTTTCTGTTTTTCATTGTTTTCGCTTCCGCTAATCTGCCTAAATCTACAATTCACCCATATCAACAATTCAAGTAGCATATTGGTGACATTACCAAAACATCAGGAGCATATTGATGAGGACATCACTGAAACTTCCCTTTAATAGAGTCTGGAGCAGATTTCCTTTATTGTTAGTTTCCTAATTTATTTGTTAGTTTCAGTAGGATTTCTAGTTTTCTAGTTTTCTAGTTTTCTAGATTTCTAAGTTTCCTGATTTATTAGGAATGGTTTGTTTTCCTATTCCTTTGTGGATTAGGATTTCTATTTAGTGAAGGATTTTATTCCTATTGTCTCTAGGTTTAGTTTACTATAATTACAGCCCATGTAGTTCATTGGAAGATAGTTGAGTTATTGAATTAAAGTTTAGTTTCCAGAGATTGGAATTCTCGTGTGAATCCCCCCCTGGAGTGATTCCAGACCTCTCTCTTTATTCATCTAATTTTCTGTTTTTCATTGTTTTTGCTTCCACTAATCTGCCTAAATCTACAATTCACCTATATCCTACATCACATATCCTCATGGAAACTATTTAAACTCAAGTATAAAAGCAAAAGAAAAAGTAAATCTCTTCTGTTATGACTCTCGATGGTAATTGCATACATGACCACAAGAAAGGTAGAAAACATATATTAGCATCATTACGAACAGTATAATCAACACAGTTCATATCGTTAAAGTTAATGGCCTGGACCAAAGTAAAGATTGCAGTCATATAACACAATTTTATTTGCAGCTACAGAAACACAGTTTGACAGCTAGAGTAGGTAGGTTGAAGCAATGCAATTTTCAAATGAAAATAAGTGCAAATTCAACATATACAGAGAACAAAATGACAAACCTAACAAGAAAGAAAGGACTTACCTCCTAGGGACACCTTGAGTGGAATTTCTTATATTTTCATCTTTAGACATAAAGGGAGGAGATCTGGCACCTTTTGTGTCTTGGAATCTAGCAATCTTGGCCGTAACACTAGTTCCAGAATTACGAGACACAACAAATGATGTGACAGCAGATGGCCTTTCTTGAGCCTGGGTATCATAATTTTTTAAAAAGGATCTCTGCCCATCATCCCAACTCGGAAGAGATTCCGTGGACCTGGGAGCAAAAAGTAGCTGCCAATATGAGTTATGACATTTTATGATTTAACAGGAGCAGTGACCAGGTACCATAAAACACAGGAGTCACATTAAACACAAATGACCAATTACATGATAACAAATGCATGTATGGAAATGCAAAGCCAAAAATCAGTATCGCTAAACATATATAACAGATAAATATATATATGAGGACCAGTATAATTACGGTGCACCTGGACCTTGCAAAACTGCATTTTCAGGACTTGGGTTTAGGGTTTAGGTGGGCATTTGTTTAATAGAGTTATACAGCATCTAAACAACCATTAGCTCAGATTCTAAGTTTAATTCTAATCAAACTATTGCATGTGTCAATTTCTCCTGCTTGCTCGCCTCCTTAACTAATATATCTTTCAGAAGAAAAGGGAAAAAGAAAACTAATTTTTTGTACACTATGTAGCCAAAACGCAAAAATATGTATGCATACCCATGGTTTTGAACTACAGTAAACTTTTAAGTGGGTAACTATTTTCTTGACACGTTAAACCCAAATATTAAATGCGCATACGCCCCAGGCACTCACCGCTTTAAAACCACATGCAAAACCTACTCACCAATAGTATAAGAGATGCTAATTGGTTTTCTCGAATAATCTGAAAAGTTGAAGAGATGAAACAGGAGGAGCCACATTTATGGAGTATAGGTACTCCCACATTTGTGAATGGAGCATCCTTGTGAAGGTACAATAAAATATTGCTGCGATTATAATTATGTACTCAAAATTGGTTTTTATGCATAACTGAGCACATTCGTACATAATGATTTACCACAGCACCACATTTACTGTGACATATGCATATAAATAAAACATACACGAAAAGGATTTTGTGACAGAATTGAGACAGATAACAAAGAAAAAAAGCATATAACACTAAGAGAAACACCGATGAATGAATTTAAAGGTTTACAATTATAAGGGTCGCTGTTACCTATGGACTCCTGCAGATGGGTAAGGATGACTTGGAGCAGGACGAGCACCTTCAAAGGCCAAAACGGTGAATGCAGCTTTCCTAGAGCTTCGGGTCCCCTATTATCAAAGGAAAACCATCAGTTTGTAATACATAACCAAAACCCAAATGCTCAATGACTATTCAAGCACAGGCTTTTACACAGCTCTTGACATTAATCCACAATTGCACATGACCCTCAAACCCAAAGATGCAGTATACAGATTTAAAAAGTTGCCATGAGCTGTTTTTACAGAATTTGATTCAACAAGCATCCTAGAATGCAAATTTGATCATAACAGTACATTCTTTTTCTTTACTCTTCTATTCATACATTCCTTTAAAACCTAGCACATAGTTGGGCACAAAACTCTGAGCCTTTAGCCAAACTTCTGTAGTATGCTTAAACTCAGAAAAGGCAAATTTAATATCTGAAATTCTAAAAGGGATTGAGAAAATACAAAATCCAAAAAGAGTGATACTTTGCATTCTTTTCTAGTATCCAACACAAACCCATGTGAGAAACAATCATGAAAGATCGAGAGAGCGAACCTGGGAGGTGATCGAAGTGGTGCAGAGGCGGAAAAAAGAGGGGTGGTCGGTGGAGAGGGTGAAGGAGGTCGACCACTAAAATTTCCGAAAGATGGTTGTGCTTTCGGCGGTTCAGTTGGCCCTGACGCCTTCCCAAACCCCGAGTACATTGGTGTTTCAGAGTGTCTTCTTGATAATTTTTTGCTCTTTCTTTTCTTGTTTCAAAATTTTCAACTCGCAGAAAAAGAAAGCCAGAAGATTTTTAAGCTTTGGAGCACGAAACGCAAAGAAACGCCGTCGTCTAATATTCAAGCCCAACTCAAAACCATCTGTGAGTATTGGGCCTCCAATTATACAGGCCTACATCACATCACATCACATGGATAAATCCTTATCCTGTTTGAAGCGAAAAAGCCCACGTGGTTGATTTTCCGTCCATATTCATTTTCCCAGAAATCTATATCAGAGCTTCCCCAGAAAACCCATCTCAATCATTGAGTGCGGACAGTGGGCAATGGCTGCACCAGGGTCAGTTCAGAAATCCGAGGAAGAATGGCGCGCTGTTCTCTCCCCTGAACAGTTTAGGATTCTACGCGAGAAGGGGACAGAGTAATTCCTACTCTTTCTTTTTTCCTTCCTTAAAAAGATTTTTTATCATCATATATGCTATGATTTATTTAGTTATGTCTCATATGATTTGTGGCCTTTCATGGGTTTTAGCTCTTTTTGGCTTTTGTGATTAGTCTGATTGCTTACAGAGATTTTGTGGCCTTTCATGGGTTTTAGCTCTTTTTGGCTTTTGTTATTAGTCTGATTGCTTACAGAGATTTTGTGAACCTTTCATTAATTTTGAGAGAGTAAAGTTTTTTTCTTTGCATTTTTGTACACACTGCACAAATATATCCCATTTGACTTTTATTTTCCTTTCTTTTGTTGAAATAGAATTTTATTTCCTTGTTTTAATTCTTAGTATATGTAATGCAAAGATTGTAGCAGAGTTCCAAAGTCTGATAGTTTGTTACCTACACAACCATAGCATCAGTGATCAATTGGCAGAAGGCTTTATGGGATGGGTTTCAGTGTTTTACCTATCCCAGTGAACAATTGCTATCTAGTTCCTTAACCAGAATTTGGGGACAAGCAGTTGCACAAATGCAAAAGATACATACAAATGAATAGGTTAAATGAGACTTGCTTATCATTGGAGTTTGATGACATACAGGCCAAAATTCACTGGGGAATATGACAAGGTTTTTGAAGAAGGGGTTTACAATTGTGCTGGTTGTGGAACACCACTCTATAAGTCAACTACCAAGTTCGACTCTGGATGCGGTTGGCCTGCATTCTATGAGGGTCTGCCTGGAGCCATAAACCGCTCTGTAAGCCTCTAACTTTCTGTTGCTAATAATAATGTATAAGTTGTTTGTTAAAGTTATTGTCCTATGCATTTTGCTGAAATTTTATTAAACTGAAACAACTCTGTGTTTCAGCCTGACCCCGATGGGAGGAGAACTGAGATCACATGTGCAGCTTGTGATGGTCACTTGGGCCATGTTTTTAAAGGGGAGGGGCACAAGGTGCCGACCGATGAACGCCATTGTGTCAACAGCGTTTCGGTCAAGCTTGTTCCAGGGAAGTCTACACTCTGAAGTCCTCTGATCAAGTTTGTTTTGTACACTTAAAACCTTAGTGTGGTTCTTGCCTTGCTTGAAGACCAAGATTGATAATCTGATATGCAGTGATTGTCAGTAAGTCGAGGGAGAGCGATGAATGATGTGTTATAATTTTACTAAAGTGGCAATAAAACCTCTTTGTGTTTAGTTTCTTGTTTCATGGCCTGCTCTGTTTCATGAATAGTCAGTCGTCTGGGCCATTCCAAATATATTTTAAGGGTAAATTTCACTTTGCTACCCGGAAGTTTTCGAAATTCAGACTTGGCTACAAGAATTTTTTTCATCCTGATTTTACTATCACTTTCGTTCCTCCATTAGTTTGACTGTTAAGTTTTCCATTAAATGATAATGTGGCATTCATAGCTCCATGTTCACCACTGAATTTGCACCACGTACACCAATAAACAATAAAAAATTTGTATTATTTTATAAACAATAAAAAATTTGTATTATTTTATAACCAATTAAAATTAATAAAGTTAAAATTTTAAAATCAAATGTATAAAAAATAAAATTAGAAAAAGTAACACAAAAAAACTAAACAAACCTGCTCTCATCCTTTAATTAGAGATCACTAACCCATTGTTGATTATTGGGAGGTTGGTGCTTAGCCAAGCTATATGAATATGAAAGAGTCAAACCAAGTCTCCATCGCGAAACTGAAAAAAAAATTACAAGGACTAAAGTGAAAACTTGAGTAAATTTCAAGGATGATTACTGCAAATTGAGCTCTCTTTTAACATTGAAAAAAGCAACCAAAAAAAAAACATTAAAAAAAACATTGAGCAGAGCAATAGTACATGGCTGGCTCAGAAAGTCCATGAAGTGTACAAGACTACATCATCAGTCCAAGAGGTGACTGAGCCCACCAAAGGAAGAAAGATACCAGCCCAAAAACACAAGCTCTCCTCCACCCTTCGGCTTTGATTCTGGAATTTCCTGAAAAACACGAAATTCGCGGACGTTTCCCTCTCATTTCCAAGGCAAATCAAAAGCCCTTCTATGATGCCGAGAGAAAAGAAAGGGAAAAACCCTATGAACTCAAAGAAGAGAGTAGCACAAACACTAACCATCAGCAGCAAACAGCAAGAACAATGGCAAGCCAATGGTCCTTGCAAATTTCTACAACTTCAGCGGGCTTTGGTCATGGACATTCTCTCAAGGCTCACCATCAACACCCTCTTCAACTGCAGGTGCGTTTGCAAAGCCTGGCTTTCTCTAATTTCTGACCCTCAATTTGCCCATCTCTGCATTTCAAGATCACCCATTGGCATATTGATCAAGACCTTTCCCCCTAAAAGCATAACTAGGAGACTTGACTTTGCCCAGATAGAGGAATCTGCTGATTCTCGCTGGCGGGTCGAGAAAATGAGGTTTACCCCCAAAACTAGCCTACCCATTTCTGAATTTAATCTAATGAACTCGTGCAATGGTTTAATTTGTTTGTCTGGACCCGAAAGAGGTGACCTTTTGTACGTGTGCAATCCAGTTTTGGGTGAGTTCATCACCATTGAACGCTCTGGTAAGGGTAGGCCATCTTTCAATTGTGTTGGACTTGGTTTTAGCGTCGGAACCGGTGAGTATAAGGTGTTGCAAACTTTTCTTCCGTCGAGTGAACCGGTCACAAATTACAACTATGAGGCAGAGATATACACCATTGGTACAGGATTTTGGAGAAGCATTGGAAAGGCTTCTTGGAGCCTTGGTCCTCAGTTACCCTTCAATGCTTATCTTCATGGAGCTCTTCATTGGATTTCCTGTTTTGGGGATGTTCCTGAGCTTATAAATTCTTTCAACTTTGAAACAGAACAATTTCAGTCACTGCCCCCACCTAGCTACTTTGGACCACTACAGAAGCAATTTTCAGACTGTTTGAAGTTGGGAGTGTGGGAAGGTTGCCTCGTTTTGTGTGTGTTTGGGGATGATTCTAGCAAATTTGTCATGTGGGTTATGAAGGATTATGGTGTCCAAGAGTCTTGGACTAAAACTTTTGTTATTGAAAACTTGTATCCAAGAGAACTTAGCTGTGATTTGTATGAACCGATGCTGTTTTTGAGCAATGGGGAAATCGTAATGTCCTACAATGATTGGGTTGTTGTTTGCTATAATCAGAAAAGGATGAGTTTCAGGGAAACTAGAATTACTCGGACTCGATCTGAGTTTCATGCAATTGGTTACAGCCCATGCTTTGTCTCACTCTATGATATTTCAAAGGCAGAGGAGGTGAAAAGGTAGTGAAATTATTCTTCAACAATATACACGCATATTTTAGTTCCATTTCTCTGTTACAACTTCTTGTTTTGCTCTCTATTTGTGGAAGTTGATGTCAATGTAGGGAAATTATGTATTGCATGTTTCAAATACAGAAATCTATGGTATCTTAAATTCTGCCAATCTCCCATGAAATTGCGTATGAAATTTTTGATACGATATCCAATCTATATGACTGATCAGAATACTGGTGTATGCAAGATCCTTTTTTTGAATTATGTGGTTTGTTCAATTTTTCTTTTTTGGGGTTAAATTAGATGAGTTTATTTTTCACAAAAATCAATTGGTGCCAGATTGTCTGCTTTGAGCCTTTGAATTTTGTTTGTTGGATTGTCTCCTTGATTCTAAAGTAATACTCAAAACACTTCTTTGAAAATCTTTGGAGATTTAAAAAAAAAGATATTGTCAATGGTTAGGATGCTAACGGTAAACAATTATTATTACTCTATAAATTTGTTCAATATATGGATATTCTGAAAGAAGGTTGTGACATCGGCCAATGAGTATATCAACTCATTTTGGCATGCTCAATATATGATATGCAGGGTGCAAGGCTCTAAGAATTGTGACAAGTTGTCTGCTGAAGGGAGTTTTGATTATGCTGGCTCTGGGATGCCACACCACAAGTCCACAAAACTTAATTCAGGCTATGCCTGGCCTGCCTTTGAAGAAGGTCTTCCTAACTCCATGAATTCCTCTGCGACGGTGAGTTGTCATAGTTCTTGTATGTATCTATTTTCTTGTGATCAATTTTTGTTTTATTGAATCCATCTGATGGTTGTTACTGTGTCTCTTTGCTAGACAATCTCTTTTCAGCCGGATTTTACCGCAATGGGGTTCCCATGTGCTCGATGCGGTGAGCACTTGGGCCATGTTTTCAGAGGTAAGGGGTTCCCATTGTGTCAACGATGCTCCAACGCAGGTTCCTCCTGAGAATTCTTCAGGATAGCTCCGCTTCCTTGGACTAAAATGCAAGATGTAACTTTTTTGGGTTAAAACCTTTTGTGAATGTCGACGTGCCTAGTTATATACTTATAGGTTTTTTTTTAATTTAATTTAATTTAATTTTGTTGGCGGAAGGGGTTTTATGGCTTTTTTCTGTCCTATAGTTTTCTAATGATTTTACTAGTGTTAAAGCTAACCTATAATCTTGACTAGTGTTAATCTTTTGTTTAATATGAAATGCGATGAATATACCACCGTCTTTAGCTGTATGCGATTCCGTATTACAATACCATACATAATTTCGCCCCATAAAGACTCTTTAGCTGCAAGTGCGTTTGCAAGGCCTCGCTTTCTATAATTTCTGACCCTCAATTTGCTGAGCCCAACTCTGCAAGATCACCCATTGGGATCTTGATCAAGACCTTTTTTGGGGCAAAATACGATCTTGATCAAGACCATGCCCCGCAGACCTTTAGGGCGATATATAAATGTGACACAACTTTTGTTAAACAAGTTGTTGCTGGCCTACTTTTAAAGAGGGTCATATATACAGTTCAAATTGTAAAAATAGTGTCCAATTAAAATTATTTTGGAAGTTTACTTTTGAGAATTATTAGACTAGGAAACGATTTTTCTTTTTTAGTGCTTCTATATGCTAGTTTGATTGTTTGAGTTGCCCATGCAATTCAGCAACTTCAGCCTTTAAGGATGCGACTAGAGCAGTCAATCAAGCACACTCTTGGTTCCTTGTTAGTAGATGCAATCCTACATTTGCTACCGATGTAGCACGGTGAGCATTAAAAAAATTAGTCTCTTCCGTTGCATATTAGACCTCCTTGCCATTATCAAGTTCGCATATGGTGTAAGCATGTTCATAGTTGCTGGGATTTAATTGTGCATATTTGCATCTTGCACAGAAGTAAAATCGGTGTGAAAATTGGAGTGTGGAAATACATCATTTTCATGTGTTGTTTTCTGGTTTGAAGAAGGATCAAAGGATAAATTCAAATCTGTTGAGGTTTCAAGAATCGAAGGGAACTCCATTTTTGATTGATTTCTGTTTATGTTTTCTCTTTAGTTTGCTTTTGTTTTCATATTGAAGGACGTCCTGGTTTAAATGATAAGGAAAGCATCAGACAGCGTCTTTGAATAATGAATGCATGTCGGGATCTCATCCCTTGTTCCCAACACCCATATTTTCTAGCTTTTCACCTCAAGTTACACACATGTTTTCTGGCTTTTCACCTAGACCCACTTAATTATAAAAAAGAAAGAAAAAAGAAAAATATAACAATATAAATTAAAAAATTATTAATCAACATAAAAAATATAACAATATTAATTAACAACAACAAAAAATATAACAACGTCGGGTGGAAGAAGGGGGAGATGCCAAAACAACGTCGGGTTTAATTGTTTTTCAAAAGCCTGGCTCAAAACGACGTCGTTTTGATGCCAGGTCATTAAAAAAATTTGAAATGGCTTGGACCAAAACGATTTAAAAAATATTGGGCGCGCGCTGCGCAAAGCCCAGGCTTCGCTGTTGCATTTCGTCGAGCACCTTGTGTGCATCTTAGGGTCACCTCGCTGCTTTTCATGAGGTCTGCTCAGACCTCCATAGGCTGTCCACAGCCATAACTCGGTCATTTCATGGGGTCGTGTGACCCCATTTGTCCCTTAATCCGTCCGCCACTGGATCTGATAACATTGCCCGTAAAACCTCTGACAATCATTGCCTGTAAAGCCAAAGTGTTGGTAAAACATTAAAAACTGAAAGTTCATACAAACAAAAATAAAAGTTGAGAAGACAGTGTTCATATAGACAAATGTTAATTAAAATCAATTCATCCCTCATCAACCTAAGCTGATAATTATATCAAAGCTTTAGAGTCTGCAGTAACTATCCTTATATATGACACAATCATTAAAACCAGAATACAAAAATTCATATATAAAAACTGCAAGCTTACGATCGAGTGTTTCCACCATTGTCAATTCTGTTGCCAGTTTATCCTACGAGATATACAATCTCCCCAATGCAGCATTACGTACCTAATCCCCCCAAGAGAGAAGCTATTTTGAAATTGGTTGAAGTTGGGAGTGTTACAAGGTTGTTTCCTTTTATGTGTGTTTGGGGATTATCATACCAAAATTGACATGTGGGTTATGAAGAATTATGGTGTCCAAGACTCTTGGACTAAAATTCTTGTCCTTGAAAACTTGTATCCTAGGGATAGGTATTATTTGTATGAACCACTAGTGTTTTTGAGCAATGGCAAAATCCTTATGTCATAATGGTCAGCTAGTGGTTTGTTATGATAAAGAAATAAAGAGACTCGAGAAAACTAGAGTTACTTTGCCTTGGCAGGAGTTTGTTGCAATTGCTTACAGCTCATGCCTTGTTTCACTCTGTGATGTTGCCAAAGGAGAGGAGGTGAAAAGGTAAGTTATACCATATAACAAAGTTATTAGCTGCATCATTGGCTGAGGTGTAATTTTGAAAGGCTAAAAGCTTTATAAAAAAAAATGACAACCAAATATCCTTATAATTTAAACAATTCCAATGTCATTCATAAGTCATAGAAAAAAAATAGCAATTCAATTAACCTACAATTGTTGACGACAAGGTTTCATATCATGGAAATCTCATACATTAAGAAAGAATTGCTTAAAGCCCATGAAATGTTTGCCGTGTTTAAAGCCCACATAAAGAATTGTTTTAAGAAAAAATCATTGTTTAAAGCCCACGAAATGCAAGCCTTGTTGAAAAGCCCAGGACTTAAAATAAAAAATAAAAAAAACTTTGCACAGCCGCTGCCGCTTGTGCACAACAGATATAGTTTGGCTGAGTCATTCTGTCGAACACTTGGAGTGCACCATCACCAACTTGAGCAGAGGGGCAATTTGAAGTACTTACACTGGTTTTTTTTTGGCGAGGGGAGTTCCCCTCCTTGCACCTTAATAGGTCTGCTGTTGAGGTGCATAATCTTATACGTTACAACTTTTTAATTCGTGGGGTGTATCAATGGATCGTATTTTGATCCAAATCCAATGTAATTAATAGGAGATAGATCTTGTGGTATAATTCGCTAATTCGATTATGTTTTGAATCCATTAGCCCGTTAAGTTAATAGAATGAATTTGAATTTGTTATAATCCAATCCGATTTAATATAATATATATTTCATTTGATTTGATTTTATCTTACTAAATATACATGTTTTATTATCAAGGATCTTACTAAATATATAGGCACTAAACAATTAAGTTCCTATAATTTATGATTAAAGAAACAATTAAGTTATTATTGGGCCACAAAAGGGAATGGCTTGGCGTCGGAGCCCCACACAGAAATAGCCAACCAAAACAAAAGCATGTAGAAAGAAATAATATAAACTAGGCAGATATTGCCAAGCCAAGGGCCATTCATTCCACTAAAAATTAATTTACTATTTGTCTCCCACAATTGTTTTTGGGCCCGGTTTTGTTTCCCGCACAGTTTAATTCCTTGTCCTACACCGTGTAGGGCAATTTTCTCTTTGAAAAATCCAGTGGAGTCCTCTCAGCAAGCACCTCCCCCTGTCTCTCGTTCGCCGCCGCAGTCTCGTCATCTCCAAGTGCCATCGAAACACCACTTTTCACTCTTCTAGTCTCCAGAAAACTCTTGTTCTCTTTTGACTCATATATGTTGTCTGCAAAACCCTAACCCATTCACATTTCATCAGATCTCCAAATTCTGCAATTTTTAGCAATTGCAAGTTTGCAACTTCAAATCCAATCCAATCTTTCTTGGATCATCCCAAGCCAACCCATCTCTATATTAACGTATTTCTCCTCTTAATTTGAAGTCAAATTTAACAACAAACCTTTTCTATTTGCATCTCTCTACCAAAATCTGTGCTTCTTTTCTGGCCGACTGGAAAAATTAGTCCAAGGAGAAGAAGAGCGATCAGCAAGAAAGAGCAATCAGTAGAATGGCAACCCAACGGTTCCTGCAACTTCCACAGGCTATAACCATGGACATCCTCTCAAGGCTCTCTGTCAATACCCTTTTCAACTGCAGGTGCGTGTGCAAAGCGTGGCTTTCTATAATCTCTGACCCTCAGTTTACTCATCTCCACGCTTCAAGATCACCCTTTGGCATCTTGATCGAGACCTTCCCCCCTCCCCATCTAACAAAACCAATGGAACTTTATTTTACCCTTCTGGAAGTAGAAGCATGTGCTGCTCCTGGTTCAGATTTGCAGCTCGAGGAAATAACGTTTTCTCCAGGAAATACTCTACCACCAGTTGACGCCGCCATGCCCGAATTTCGCTTGATAAACTCATGTAATGGTCTGCTTTGTTTTGGAGCTAATGAAGGCTTTCCCCTGTATGTGTGCAACCCTGTTTTGGGCGAGTACATCACCATTCCAACTGCTAATAGAAACGACAAGTGGCTTATTGTTGGACTTGGTTTTAGCATCAGGACCAATGTGTACAAGGTGTTTCAGTTGAACAACCCGGACACTGAGGCTGAGATTTACACCATTGGCGCAGGAGGGGCATGGAGAAGCATTGGACCTCCTCCTCCTGGGGATTTTAATAACTTATCGTTCAATAATTTTCTTCATGGAGCTGTTCATTGGATTCCCTATGGTGGCAGAAGTACAAGTTCCAAGGTTATACAATCTTTTGACTTTGAAAGAGAACAATTTCGGCCATTATCACTACCTAGTTTGCTAGCACAGAATGAATTTCTGTATAGTTTGACATTGGAAGTGATAGGAGGTTGTCTCCATCTATGTGTGCTTGAGGATGATGCTAGCAAACTGGACATGTGGGTTATGAAGGAGTATGGTGTCCAAGAGTCTTGGACTAAAATTCTTACTTTTGAAAACCTGTTTGGTCTTTGGACGGAACGAATCTGTGATAGGTATAATCCAATTATGTTTTTGAGCAATGGGGAAATCCTGATGTTCTACAACTTTGAGCGTGTAGTTTGTTATAATCAAGAACAAAAGAGCTTCAGAAAAATAAAGATTCCTTCGACTAAAAAGTGGTCATTTCAGCCAATTGCTTACAGTCCATCCTTTCTGTCGCTATACGATATTGCAAAGGCAGAGGACGTGAAGAGGTACTAAAATTATATTTCTAAAATTGGTTGCATAAACTTAGTTACATTAATTCTCTGCCACAACTTTGCTTTCTTCATTTTGATTTTTGCAAGTTGATGCTTTAAAGCAAATGTGACCAATATGTTGTATTTTGCAGACATGTAAAAAGTGTCTGAAGTTGCTAATCTTCTCTAATACTGCATAGAAGTTTGAAATTATGGTATACAATCTGTATGCTTCATCAGTCTTGAAGGTCGCGGCGAAATGCCACAGATCCTAAACTTAGATTGAAATTTTGGTTAACTATGTGGGTTTGGTAAACTTTCTGGGGTTGCATAAACCATGAGTTTCTTTTTCACTAAAATCAAGTGGTAACAGAGTTTTTTTTTGTAAAATAATTCCTCAGATTTCATGCATAAAAATTAGCTTCATTTCTCTGTTACGACTTTTTATGCAGGGTTGGCAGCAGTAAGAGATATAACAAGCTGCCTGTTTGATGAATCGAGTTATGATTGTACTGCTTTTGAAGAGGCTCTTCCTAAAGCCAAAAATTCCTCTGTAAGTTTTCATAGCTTATATATCTGTCTATTTTCTTGTGCCTGTTTGTTGGTTGTTATGCATTCATTTTCTGCTCTCTTGATTCTATCTAGTGGTTGCTACTACTATCTCCATTTTCTAATTTTCTTTTTTTATTTTCAGCCGGATTTGAATCGGAGGATTGGGACTGCATGATTTCTTCAGAGGAAAAAGGGAGGCTTCTTTTTGTTACTTGGGTTTAGCCATCAGGGGAAACTCTGCGTCTGTAGACCAAAATGCCTTTGATGGCTTATCTAGAACAAAGTGATTGAAACCCTTTGTTAAAACTTTTGATTTTAATTAGTGTCTAAAATTCTAGTTACAATCGTACAAGTATTTTCTAATGGTTATCATTTATTTTCCTTTTTGAAGTTGCATATAATTTGTCCTTTTGGCTATGGAAGTATTATCATTTATACCATATTTGTGTTTAGAAGTTTGTTATTAATAATTGCGAAAGGTAGTATACATACAATTGGTATAATATTTTTGGTTGCAGTATTAGTTGTAGCATATTGATGATGCTCCTTTTTGGTTGGAGTAAATTTTCATGTCTCATTGTTTGATTTGGGTGTATTCATGGTTTTGCACGTGAGTTATTTGTGTGCACATTGACTCCAATTTGACAATTTTTTTACTTATGTACCTATCAATCCGGTAAGATAATTCAATACCTTGACCTTTTGATTATCTGCTTTACTTTTGTTCTCTATGTGCCATCTCATTAAAATTTAATTTGAGGGATTTAAAAGTTGACGCATCAAACCTAAAAACAAAATTCCAATTTACTCCTAATTAAAAAAGAAAAGAAAACCCTGACACCCAACTAACGGGATAGTTAACTTCCATAGCTTTTTCTTCCCTCCATGCTTAACGTTATGTCTTCTTCTCTATTTTGCTCTTCCTTGCGTTCTAGCTTTTTTTTTCTTCATGATGTCTCTGCCCATATCCATTGTTTGATGAGTGTGGTTTCAGAGAAAGATTCCTTTTTCTGTTCATGTCGATTTCCTGGATTAAAAAAGAAATCATATTTGAAGAAATGCATTTCGGCTTTGTTCTGTAAGGTTTCTTGATTGATTAGTTATATGCTTACTTTCTTGAATATCTTGATTTGTATTGAAATATGGTTTTCTATGTATTTGGTCTTGAACTCAGATTTGACAGCTTAATCTTCATGAATTTAAGAATTACTGAAATATCCGTATTTTCCTGTAAATCGGGAAACAGAAACAACCCCTTCTTCCTCCGGATTTTGTTCTGTATTTGGTCAAAATTCCTAGGAACTCCTTTTGAATTCGTGAGTTTCCTCTTGGTTAAGGTAATTGAGAGGAGTCCTTCTGGAGCACTGGCCTTTGAGACTTTTGGGTAGATAAATCCATAGCAGGGACCAATTCAAGTCTCTTCGAAGTTAGCATCCCTGCTCCATACTTGAAAAATGGTTTCTCTCAGCTACCTGGCTTGTCTCACGAGTGCAATGGATATGGGCATGCTCATCAGAAATGGAATTTTTTCTCTGGAACCACACTCATCAAACAATGGATATGGGCAGAGCCATGAAGAAGGAAAAACAAAAAGCCAGAACGTGAAGCAGGAAGAAGAAAAAAATAATAAAAGAGGAAGACGACAGAACGTGTGAAGCAGGAAGGAGTAAAAGAAAGCTCTGGACATTAACTATACCGTTAGTTGGGTGTTATGATTTTTTTATTTATTTTTAATTAGGATTAAATTGGACTTTTGATTTTAGGTTGATGTGTCAATTTTTAAATTCCTTGGATTAAATTTTAATGAGGTGGCATATGAAAAACAAAAATAAAACAGATCATGGCAGAGAAAATCCGAGCAGAGGATCCGGATCCTAACTTGTGATGTGCTTTGTGACATTTTTATCAGAATAGGAGGTATATTGTTAATGACTTACCTACAAGTAGGGGTGGATATTTTATCTGAAAAATTCGTGTGTCGATTGTATCGTATTGACGGTTTGATTTGATTTGGTTAAATTATTATTTTATATTTAAATTCTACCGTACTGTTCTGAATTGAAAATTTTAGTTAAAAGAACGGGTAACAATCCTATATCGTGAAAACCTGTATCCAACTAAAAATTTAAAATAATTTATTATTTAAATACAAATATACGTGGCAACACATTATTGGCTTTTTAAGAATGCAATAAGGTTTAAATAGTATTGGTGGTGTTAGGGCCCAAAATGTCACAAGAAATTCAAAGATATTTCAAGCCCAATATAAACATACAATGTTGGTCATACTTTAATCCAAGTTGTATTTTGGGAATTAATTCATTAAATAAATATAGAAATGCCAAACAAATAATACAGTATCCTACGCTAAACCACCCGACGAGTTTAAGTGGGCCCAAGCCACATACATACCTATCAATCAAATAATACATTCTCCTAATCCTTCATCTCTCTCTCTTTTTCTAGAAACCATCACCTACCTTATTCACAGAAATCAAAAACCATTCCATGCCCTAAAATAGCCTTCATCCAAAACCCTGTTTCAACTCAAGCAGATGCTCTTGCTAAACTCATGGAGACTTAGCTCCCACGCCATAAGCCACTCAAGCCAAGCCAAAATCTCAGTTCACAATAATCATTATCTGCTTGGTGAGAAAAACTAGAGTACTCCCAAAGATTCAACATTCTTTCGGAGTATTTTGGGGCCTAGTTTTTTTAACCCAGGCACAGGGGCAACTTCACTCTCTCTTTACAACGACTGAAGTCTACCTAGAGCTGCTGGAACAAAAAGGCCATCACAGGTGTCTTTTCGTGAAAGATGTAGATTGTGTTGCTTTGGATGTTGACAAACTTCACAAATATTGATGTGTTAGAAATGATATGAGTACTTAGTTTATTGGTATTTGAATTCTTAGTATTTCTTTGTGATAGTTGCAGTTCGTTCATGTGTGAAATTCTTGGTAATTCTATGATGTCAGTTTCAGTCATCTAATTATATGTAGTAAGGATTCTTAGTATTTCTTTTTTGTTAAACGGTACTACCAATGTACGAAATCAAACTTCGGTTTCATTAATAAAAAAGCTCTCTACCATTCCAAACCGATCCATGTCTAGGCCAACCTACAAATCATACATGTTGATTGTTTGTACCTTTTCCTTAGGCGATCTTTTGCTTGGTTTCTACCTACATAGTAGGTTTATTTAAACGTGTTATATGTTGATTGTTTTTATCAAACTATTTTGGATCGACGAAGGTATTTAATGGTGACAATGCAACATTCAAAATTCGTTATTAAAGCAAAAGATGCATTAAATCAGGAAATTTTATTTAGCTTCCATTATTTACCTTCAAGGGTAAAATAGTCATACAAATAAATAATAAATGCCAATTGGGCCGCGATTTAATATCTGTATAACAAGGGTTTTTTTTCAACCGTTTTTTTTACATGAAATGGGTCTATATTAAAAGACCCTTATTAGAAAATTACTTATAACATTAAAAAAAAAACGAAATTGTCCCCAACTTAACTATGTACGAGTCCAATAGGTGTAAGGTTTTTATTACAAAAGGTCTTGATATTATTAGGAGTGTTAACCACTCATTATATGTTGTATTGTATTGCTAAATAAAATAAAATACTACATATAATGAATGGTTACACTCCTAATAGAATTGAAGCCTCAGTTTTAGTTACAAGAATGGTGGGTTTGGATTTAGTGTTAGTTTTTTTCTTATGGATTTGGATTTTTTTATTTATAGAGTGGAGATTGGGATTGATATGAAAAATATTATGGTTTAGGGATTTTGTCTTGACGTGGAAAGTCTTCCCCTCTTCTGAAAAGTCTTCTCTTGTTGAGAAACAGCTTGGAACGCTCTTGTGTGTATACAATGGAAACATACGATTTTGCGTCATTTTGACTTTAGTAACTAAGCCTCTTGCTGGGTGTCGAACCTGACAGCAGCCTGCTTGAATAATGATTGTGTGCCTATTTTCTTGCAATTGTCCCATGCTAATAAGATTGTTCTTTAGAGTTGGAACATAGAAGACATTAGCAATCTTATACACAGTATTCTCATCAATATGTACTTGAATATTTCCTTTGCCTATCACAAATATGCTTGAATTATCTCCTAGCTTCACATGCTCTCTAAAATCTTCATTTAAATCAGAGAATAGAGATTTGCTACCACTCATATGATTGCTACACCCAGAATCCAGGTACCAAATATCAGGTTTTGGGTTCTTCTCCTCAATGTAAGCCATCAAGAGTACTTTTGATTCGGCATAATTTGATTGTTCTTCCTTTCAAGCAGATTCTGGGCATTCATACTGGTAATGACCATATTTGTGGAAACAGTAGCATTCAACATTTGACTTGTCCCATGTTCCTTCATGTTCAGTTGTCTAGTTTTCATGCCAGTGTCCTCTCCCACGTCCACAACCTCTTTCATGACCTCGGCCTTTTCCGCGGCTGTTCTATGTGGATGAATTTCCACGACTGTTGTCATCACCTAGTGAGACCTTCAATAATTTCTCTTCAACAACCTGACTAATAATTCGTTGTTCATGAGCGAGTAGAGAGCTCTGTAGTTCATCGATGGAAAGTTTAGTAACATCTTTGGATTCTTCAATTGAACATACAACACAAGCAAACTTGGAGGTCATTAAACGGAGGATTTTCTTGACAATGATTACGTCTTCCATTTGTTCTCCATTGATACGTATCTTGTTTGCAATTGTTAGCGTTCGTTCAAAATAGTTTGTGACAGACTCGCCTTCCTTCATGGTAAGAATCTCAAACTCTCTGCGGAGAGCCTGTAGTTGGGCTCGTTTCACACGAGCTGTCCCTTGATACTTCTGCTTCAAAGAATCCCAAATATCCTTTGTTGTATCCTTCTTGAGGATGGTCTCTAGAGTGACACGATCAATGGCTTGAAACAAGAAATTTTTGGCTTTCAAGTCTTTGAGCTTCTGATATGTCAGAGCCTTTCTTTGTACCTCAGTGAGAATAGTTTCTGCAACAGGTTCGGTGATGCCATTCTCCACCAAAATCCAGTACTCTCTGGACCGCAAGAAATTTTCCATAAGCAAACTCCAGTGATCATAGTGTCCATCTAACCTTGGGATTGCTGGTTGTACAAAACCAGTGTTGTCACTCGCCGTGGTGATCTTG